TTCATTTATTCATTTATTCATTTATTCATTTATTCATTTATTTATTTATCTATTTATCTATATGTAAAACATTCTCATGTGTGTCTACTCTAAGACCAACAGCTGATTTCAAAATCCAAAATGCTGCACTGCACACTTTGTTGTTATTACATGTACTATAGAGCGGTCAAAACTTCGTGCCGCAACTTATTGTCAAATATCTCCTTAACTATTGAACATGGATTCTCCAACTTTTACACAATGACTAATATCAATTTGTCTTAACTGATGAATATTTTTCAAACACCTGCACACTGTATTCTAGAAAATTCCTTAATAAGTACTAATTAAAATCCCAGTCGATTGTTTCTACAGATTTTAAAAAGTTTACAGCCGAGGCAATACATGTATCGCTTTTAAAAGCAAGTCCGTCATTAAATTATTTTTTTTGTTATCGCGATATTATGCTTATCAACTTATTGAATGCATGTTTTGAGAAACTTTAGTGCCATAAATGTGTTCACTATAACATTAATATCTTGTAACAAGTTTTGCAACAAAATAATGTCATTGATGAGCAGTGACGTAGACAATATTGCGTATGCAAAATGTGTTTGAGAAGGGGGGAGTGCAGTGAACAATCCGATTTTCTGCGTGAAGGAGATTTGTAGCATTTTATAGACATTTATGAGGAAATTTTTTAAAATCCAGCCTCAATTGTTGTGGCAAAATATGATTAAGTTAGATCAAATTGATACAAACTGCTGTGTAAAGTATGGGTGACGGTTATTCTCCCGTTTAAGAGATTTTTAAGGATAAGTTAACACAAAAGCGCCAGATTATAGAATTGGGCATGGCAGGGTCCCCCCCCCCCAAAAAAAAAAAAAAAAATAATAAAGGAATACAAATTTATATAGGCCTACTTCATAATGAATGCATCCATGTTGTTTCCTACTTTTCTATTTTTTTAAAAGATGGGAAATAAGAATTGAAAAACCTGCATGAGAAACAAAGCTATGCTTCTTTTAAAAAAATTAAG